TTTTTTGCCTGAGTCTGCATGACAAGTCTTGATGGAAAGACCTGTGTCAAGCTGTCAAAGTGTTTGCATTGAAGCTGTTTGTTTTACAGTACAGACATGTGTGTAGTTGAAACTGTGTTGTTATGTGTGGGGGAAGGAGGATCACCTGGTCGATGGTTCTTTCTTTCTATGATTCTGTTTATTTTCAGGGTATTATATGTTAAATTAGAGAGTTTTACCATGTTAAAGCAGTACTTATTGTGCTTACGAGCATGTTTTTTAGAGTGTTGGGAGCCGGTTTAGTGTAGAATTGCTCTGTTAAGGTCAAAAGTTTATCTCTGTAATAAAAGTCAATCTCTATTTTACTTATGAATGTGGTAGGAGGATAATGTTTAATTAGTGATTCGTAGTGTTAATTTGGCTTATTGATTAGTATTAGGAAGTGATGTATTTAGATAAATGTGTTTATGAATGTTCTTTTTCATTTTTCTGTATGTGTTTGCTTTAGAGTGTCTAGGAGTTCCGTAGTTCTTAAAACTACGGGAGGAGGGGATTCTGTAGTGGTTAAAGCAAACAGAATATAATCCAAATAGAGTTAATAGTTAATAATAATTAATGCACAACATGTAGTATGAAATACACTCTGTTAGGGTGAGCTTTTTGTTCCTTTGTACTGATCTCTGCAAGGAGTTTGGGCGCCAGACCTCCTGTTGTTTAGCACAGTTTGCAGGGGGTTCCCAAAAATAGAGAAGCATGACCAAGCGTGGAGGCCCAGGTGGACACCAGGGTGGACAATCACAGGAAGTGGGGGATTGCAATATAGTTAGCAGCAGAGTTGATTAGGAGCGCGTGTGTGAAGATCCGAGAAGAAGACTAGACCGGTGGCTGACAGCCTGACGTCCTCTGCAGAGACTCAGACTGACACAGGTGATTCTGTTTCTCACCCTCTTAATCATAATCATAAAATATTGTTCAATAAATGATAACTGGCACTGCAGTGATTCTCCCTGTGTATTAATTCTTTCAACGACAGAAAGAATCTGAAGCAGACATTTCATGTCAATTTGCTGAAGGAATAAAGAACCTAGAACATGACACCTCAGCAGCAGATGTTTGTTTGGGTTGTAAAGGATGAGGAGAATGTTGTAAGTTCACTCCTACTTGTCAAAAGTATGCCTCTCTTGATCTCTCTCATTCCTCCCTAACCCAGCAACAGGTATTGAAGGCCATTATTCCATTAGATTTGTTCCAGGAGAAGCTGGGGACATCAACCTTAGTGAAGCATGATATTCATCAATCCTACAAGGAATAGGATGTATTGCATTCCACAGAAGTTGGTGCTGGAGGAATATATACAATATATTAGTGCTGTGCAAGATAACGCATTATTTTCAAGTTAACACATTACTTAATTAACACCAACAATTATTTTATCCCGCATTAACGCATTTTTATTTATTATTATTATTATTATTTTGAAAGTCCGTTGCTCACTGGCTCTGAATATACCTACAGACAAATCATGGGTCACAGGAGGGGTGGGATCTTGATCAGTACTGGCTTGAGATGGGCATCATCACGTGTCTCAACTAATGAGAGCATTTTGGGCGGCCTAAGACTGCTGCAGCACTCATGTGAACTGGAACTGAATAAAACTGGCAGGGACAGAAAAAAGGTACAGAACTCTTACATGGACATTTTCATTTTAAATCTCTTCCATATGGTGAAGTTGATAGAACCAAAGTCATTTGTAGCCACTGCAAAGCTGAATTTCCTTATCACCGGAGTACTTCGACTCTGAAATATCACTTAAATGCAATACACACCACTGATGCCAGCAAATCACCCACCCAAACAAACAGTGGAGGGAGGCTTCGGCAGACTAAGTTGGATGTAGCATGTGGGAGAAGTATAGATAAACAAAAGCAAGACAAGCTAAAAAATGCCATAGCTAAGTGGATAGCTACATACTGCAGGCTGACTAGTATTGTGGAAGATGTCGGGATGAGGAACGTTATTAGTATTGCAACGATTGACGGCACGTATGACCTGCCCTCAAGATGCACCATCACAAGAAGAATACATGAGTGGTATGAAAAGGAGAGGGCTACAAAAGTGACGGTGTTACAACATGCACCAACTGTTGCTCTCACTGGAGAACAGTGGGAGCTGCATTCACATGCTCTAAAGGTAATGAAAACAGATGAGACTTTTTGCTGAAACGTGCGCAGAGCATTTCATTCATGTTGCACAGCAATGGAAACCAAATGTTATTGCACTTTTGTTCGTATAGCAGTACTTTTAAGATAAAAGTGCACAATACACTACTTTTGAATTCATTATTGAATGCTGCTCATAACAATGCAGTTAATTATAATTAATCAGAAAATCATGCAGTTAACGCAGTTAGGGATTTTAATCGTTGCCCAGCACTAATACACACACACATACAGTGCCTTGCGAAAGTATTCGGCCCC